ATATTCACCCTTCAAGGTTTTGAATTCAGTTTTCATGCGCTGGTGCATGAAATTTTTAACTGTTTTTCAATGTTTGAACTATTTTTGCACAGACTAAAGTATACAAAGAGTGAAAATCATTAATAGGCAATCGTTCGATGGGCTGAATTGCACAAAACGCATAATCGCACCGGCCAGTCTGGTGCGCGCTGCTATTTATTATTGACTCACTCTGCTGTGATAATAATCTTTTTTTTTCGTCTTCTTAATGCTCTTTTTATTTCAGAATCAACAGCATTAATATTTTGCGGGCGATTTTCTCGGACAGTCGCTTATCTGAGGCCATCTTGATTTACTTGGAGCCGGCGATGAGTCTCTGCTTTGTTTGTTTTGGTAGCGATTGCTGGGCAATTCGAAATGCTGCATCGCAACTGTTCGCTGCACTGCTCACGCGCGTGTTCGGTGTTCCTCAAAATGTTCAGCGTTCTTTCCATCCACATCAGAAAAATCGTATCTCGTCCTATGAATTTTTCACGAGGTATGCTTAAGGATTTTTTCTTGATGTTTCTTGTTGAGCAAATCGCGGCGATTATTTGAGGCTATTTATCAGCTTGTGGGAGTTAGTTTTTGTTGCAGATTGTGCTCCGATTGCGTCGTTGTGATTTTGTACTCTGAATTTTTTTACAAAGGCTTAATGCCTTCTTGTCTACTTTCTCTTTTCCTAGACTAATGCCTTAAAGTAACAAGATTGTTCACACTTTCGGTGTTAGTCTCGCTAGTTGCATGTCTGCATATCTATTCCCATTTTGTAGCATATTGTTTTGCTACTGAAAAATAATAGAGAAGGATATTTATGATTTATGAGGTCAAGCACATAGGATATGCTAAACTTCAAAACAACAAAAAACTTACTGAGCCTGAACTTACTGCGCTCCTAAACTTATTGCACCGTAACCAAAAATAACATATCAGAGTAAACGGAGTTTACAGGTCATCTCGCGGTCATCCATACACCCCCTGCCTTGACTTCGCCCAGATTCCTCCCCTATATAAACTCAGTTTTTGTGGGCACAAAACTCGTTCTCAGTTCCACTCGGACTGAGTAGCAGGG